CTAGTATTATATATAATTGTATATAACTATTGCAATACATATATATAAATGGTTCTAAAAAATTCAAACAGAAATCAACCATCATTATTGTTATATACTGTATCATGTTTTAAATCTGTAATCATTTTAACATTTAGGTTCATTACCACATTACAAATGGAACGTTTGATATTGGCTCAGCGATATTGTTGTATCCTCAAGCAACTGATTACCAATGGAGAGTATTTCAAAAGTTCTACTCTGATGATAACCATATAATCAGTACTATGATTATTGAATTATCATTTTTCGGCTACAGAAAAAAAAACAAGTTTATTCTAAAACCATAATATGTTATTTACTCAATTACAGTAATATTAAATATAAATAGATAGTCGTACTAAGGTTCATTCATTACTAATGAAAAAAAAAATAAAAAAATTTGGTAGTTAGTTAGTAAGTACCTCTCATTTTATATTTTGTAACTGGATAACATTCAAGAAATAATCAGAATATTAAAGACAAAATATGTTTATCTCCAAACATAAAATGTGTCAATAATAATTACTATCTATTGAACTCAAAATTATATTAATTTTTGATTATAAAATATATTTGTTCGAACTATCATTGATTTACTTTAAACATGATTATTTAAAAATCTTGTTTATAAATGACATTACTATTACCTACATATTTTTACAATTCTTGCATGATGATGCCAATTAATTTTTTTAGGTACTTAAGCAGCTCATTTATATGGTGTTTGAGATTATATTATAAACTAATAAAATTAACTTTTAAATTATATTTTGTTGGATTTATAATTAGGTAGCTGAATACCCGACGTTGTCCGAAAAAAAGTTGTGATTGTTCAACTCCTTTTGGGTGTAACACGCTATGGAAGCGATGCCTTTTTAAGTGTAAATGATATCATACTTTAATTTTTAATGTATAGTGGATTCCGCATAATATGGACACGTTGGCACCAAACTCATCTGCCCAGATTAAGTGGTTGGCCATATAAATCGAAATTCGTTAGTTATAGTATCCATCTATTACCCTGACAACCATCTTAACCAGTGCCCACATTAAGCGGAATCCACTGTATAGCCATCCAGACCGGCGTTGAGATTCGCTAGGGACTATGCTAGCAGTATATTATCAGGTATGGAATCTACTTGCGGTAGATCGCGGATCCCATGTGGTTTGTATGTATGTGTATAATTCAACTCTAAAGTTTAAAAGTTATACCAAGTTTGTCGTTTGTATTTAATTCAAAATTTGGCTGATTAGTACAAAATCCTAACTTAACTGTACTAAAATCCGATAAATCAATAAAAAAACCAAACATCCGCAGGTGTAGACAAAGAAGAAAAATAAAAAGGAAAAAAAAACAATGCGAAAAATTGGTCCACTGAAACCGTAGTACGAACTTGCGACGGGAAACAGCTCTAAAAACCAACAGTTAAAAAATTTAAACATTCCTGCCAAAGGTTCCGATATAGCCCAATCACTAGTTATTATCACAAATTCTTATCAACCGCCCTTAACAAAAATCATTATCACTTAATTGAATACATCTACGACGGAGTCGGATTGCCCACCTAGGTGGCTAACTCGAAAGTTAATCGATTTTGACTTGAGATGATTAACTTGCTACACACTTTAACATGGTTTCTGATTTTAAATTTTTTTACACATAGGTACAAAAAAGCACCAGACATACGCTGGGGAATCGTATCATTCAATTGCCGATTTTCGTAGGCCATGGGAGATTTCTAGACACTGAAATTCGACTTTTAAACATTCCCGGCTTCGAAACGGGACCTCCAAAGAGCCACCTTATAACAAATTCTTATCGCCAAATCACCTTCATTATAAGTGCGACTTTTATAATTTGACTGTTTTTCCAAAATGTGTATCCACTTTTAGCTAACACTGCCCGACCGGGGGTCTCCCCTGATTGGACCGGAAGGCTAGTAAAAGTATAAATGATTAACTTGTCATAGACGACCTATACTTATTTTTAAATGTATTGTGACATTTGAAAACAGTACAAACATAACAACATTGAACAATCTATTTAAACAGGAAAGATCCATGTCATAAAATCTTACTAGACGGTGACATAGAAGTGATTTTTTTGGAAGAGGAGACAGACTCATTATAATTATCTATTATGCCACCATGGAAGCTTGGGTTATCCACTGAGGTTTTAATAATATATTAAAAAAGCAGGTTAGTCAAACATTGAGTAAACTTATCGTTTATAGACAGTGTTACTTGGATAATAATATCGATAATAATTTACAATGTATTGAAACTAATGAATACACATCAATAAAAATGAAGTATATTTACTACCTATATACTACGTAGATTCTACATAATATACCTAGTGCTGTATAATAGTGTATACCAATACATACTAGGTATTACTGTATTTAAAAGTCGAGTAGCTAAAATCCGTGTGTTATAATAATCGCATCGAGGCGATTTATCACGTTGATCGGCTATTCACACAAAATATGAGTGTTGTTCAAAAAATATTGTACTGATTTTTACAATACATTGTGAAAGAACATTGTTTTCCGAGATATAGTTATTAAAATTTTTATGAAGGTTAGATAGCTGCATAGATTTGTGTATTGTAAATTAGTTAGATTTTCTTCAACAGTATCTTTCCTGATAGGAAAGTGAATCTATTTGGTACTTTGGGGGGTCAAAAGTAAGTTTTCCAGTAGTTTTCAAACGCTCCGTGAAAAACAAAAGAAAAATTAAGGAAAAATGGGTATTTTTACACAAAATCTGTTTTCGAAAAATTCGATTTTGGTTTTTGGTGCAACTCTTAAACAAATGAAAGTAGGTACAAGGTACATGAAATTTTGACTGGATGTTTATATTAGCATTTTCTATACACCATAACATTTTCCAAATATTTTGACTTATTTTGAGCTCTTTACGTACATTTTTACGTTTGTTTCCATTTTTTTAGTTTTTTTTCTATAAATATCGATTAAATTTTATTTGTTGGTTAAAAAATCTTGAAAAATTAATAAAAGACTCCTAGTATATTGTTTCAAAGGTAGAAGAAAATCCTTAGGCACAATTTTTTTTTTATAAGCATTTAAAGTTCAAATATCGACAAAATACAAAATTTGAAAATTATTTCGAGTTAGAAATTCATAAAAAATTTTCTTTTTAAATCTAAGATTTGAAAATTGAATACAAGATTCATCATAACTTTGTCTAAATTTATCAAAAAAAAATGTCTACAAGAAACTCAAATTAAATTTTTATGGGCATTTGAATTTCATATTTTTACAACATTTGATATTCACTCGATTTCTCATGTAACGATTTTCTTATTATGTTGTAATTAAAAAACGAATGACTGGTACCTAGATACTTGAAAATTATACTGAATGTTTATATTTGCATTTCCTATACACCATACAATTTTGAAAATATTTTGATTCTTTTTGAGCTGTTTACAGACATTTACAGTTTTCAATTATTTAAGTTTTTTTTTTCTTGACAAAATTTATCAAATTTAAAATTGAATAATTATTTTGTAGTTAAAAATGTATAAAATGTTCAACTTTTATATCTAAGGATTGAACATTTAAAACTAGATTCTACTTAAGTAGTTAATTATGATACCAAAAAATCTAAAAATACATAAGCACAGTTTATTTCTATAGTCATTTTAAGTTCAAATTTGAATGAAATTACATAATAAAAAACCTAGAATAACTATTTTAGTTATTTTGTTGTGATTGTATATTATTATTCATGGGTACTTGAAACTTCTAAAGTACACTATTGTATATCTGTGATAGAATTAGAGTTTGTTGTTGATGTATAACGTGTTATAAGTACCTAATGGATATTGTGATATGATTAATTTGGAATTTATTATAGGTACCTGTTCTAGGTCAATTTTTTTAATACCATAGATAAGTATATAATTTGTCTTATACTTAGACTGACATACCGTCTCCGCTCAGAATCGATTTTCTTATACAATGATATTATATCATTGAATTCAAATTGAATACCATCCATTATACCGTGACCCACTTGTAACCTACTGTACAGCAGAGCACCTTTTTAAATCTATTGTGACATTTGAAAATGGCAAAAACATAATAATATTGAATGCTCTATGGATAAAAACAAAACCTCACTGACCGTTGGGATTGGTGGGTTGTGATCTTATCAGGGAGACAGACTTTAAAACTTTATACCTCTACTATATGCTACCGCACCGTCAAAAGAAGTCTGCGTTGTCCACTGAGCATTTAATAGTACTTATAATAAAAAAAAAACCTTATTAGTTATGCCTTAAACATAAAGAAAACTTAATATTAGACCGTGTTAATTAGATAACAATGTATTAAAATAAATGAATATACAGTAAGGTTTAAATTCATAATTACTATTTACACTCCATACAATGTACTTATATTCTATTATATTTTCTTATATTATATTCTATTGTGATGGATAATAGCGTAATTTTATACCAATACATACTATTACTGTATTTAAAAGTAAAACTTAAACTCAAAGTAAAAACTAAAATCCAATGTATTATAATAATTACACCATGTCAATTTATCAAGTTGATCGGCTACCTATTAATATAAAATATTAATGATGTTCAAAAAAATGTTCACTAATGTAACAATACATTGTTAAATAACATTGTTTACCGAGATATATTCCAAAATGTATTACAATTATTTTGATGAAGGTTAGATAAGCTGCATAGTTTTTTGTGTTGTAAATTATTATTAATACCTATACATTGTGAACCAGTAACATAATATTATCACGATAACGATTTAAATGACTATACATTACATAGAAGTTTTTGCAAAACAAACTATGGACAAGCAGTGTAATCGTAATAAGAGTGATATTGTGTCAGCTAATATCATTTATATATTTTATTCCTGAGGATTTTACACTTAACTTCAATAGTATAGCCACAAACACTCAAGAGAAAAATAATGGCAGCATTAAAATTAATTTTTATTCTGATCTTTGGAGATTTCATCAAATATGTGGTGTTGGTTAGTATACTGGCGTAGTCGTGTAATAATAATATTAGGAAGTACTTTTAGGAGAAGGCCGTTTGACAAATTTTAGTGTACTTATATTATATTTTACTCAGATAATAATCTGTATTCTGTGATATTAATTAGGTTTTGGGAGGACTATAAATCTGAGGTTCGTGATTTCAAATATAAATTACATACGATTTTGACCTAGTTAACTATATTAAATTTGACATAGGTATTTCTGGTTCAGAACCATCCTCCAACACTCAGAATCTAAAAAATTAATTAATTCGTTTAAGAAATTCGTAATTTATGTGATTATTACATATTATATATTTTTATTTTTTATTATTATATCAACGTAGGTACCATTAAATGAAAATGAATACCTATGCAATTATATACATTTTTAGTAGGTGTTTTGAATACCGAGTAGTAAAAACTATTATACTAATGCAGATTTTAATTGCCTGATTCCAAAAATTATTTTACTGTGATTTTTAGTACAATCCAATGTTGACGTATACTGTACGGTTTAAAAAAGTTTCTTTACATCCGAGCAACCTTGGGAATTTCACGATCCACCAATATCGAGAATCACAATTTGTAAATGGAAATCTTACAGTACCTCTGAACTCACTCCCTGATAAAGTAAGTAAAAAAATTATGAATCAAACAAGTAAACAACCATAGAACTAGTTTAAAGGTTAATAATTAAATATCACTAATTATAAATTGAACATCTTATCATAATATTAAAGATTTTATTTTATTTTTTATATGGAATACTATCTACTAAGTCGATCACGTACAAATTGATTGTTAAAAAATGAATACTTTTATTTATTTATCTTTACATATTATTTTAAATTGTGTAGACTCTTTTTTGGAAAGCTGTTATCACTTTCTATCGCTGTGATGCCGAAGGCATTAATTGTGAATACTTTCAAACGTGGACATTTTCAGATATCTGCCTTAAATTAAAGGAAAAGAACCAAATATGGTCCCGTTGGTACGGTTCGTTTGATCCACCAATGGTTTGTCCGTTAGATAAGGTAAGGATAATGATGTTATATAATTCTTTTTAACTTTGCTTAACTTGAGGATTCAATGGTGTAACATTGTGTTTTAACTTTTAATTGTATTATTATGCTTCAGGTGTACCACAAGGTGCTGTTCTTTCTCCATTTCTGTTTGCCCTATTCATAAACTCAGCCGCCTCCGTCCTCCAGCATGCTAAACTTCTTATCTTTGCTGATGATATGAAAATCATTTTCCGTATAAAACCATCTCTGACTGTCACCTTCTTCAAAACGACCTTCAGCGATTAGTGACATAGGGTGAATCTTTGGGGCTAGTTCTTAATATTACTAAATGTTCAGTAATGACTTTTTGTCGTATTAATGCTGTAGTCAAGCATACTTACTCCGTAAACAATACCCCCTTAACAACTTGTAATAATTATGTAAAGGATTTAGGATTTACTCTTACACGGAACCTGTGCCCTAATATTCACATTCAGTTAATCTGTTGTAAGGCTCTTAAACTGCTAGGTTTCATAAACCGTGTCTCTACAGACTTTCACTTGCTCACACCACTAAAAACTCTTTTCTGTTCTTTAGTCCGTAACATCCTTGAGTATGGTACCATCCTCTGGGACCCGTCCACCGCTTCTGCACTTAGCATGATAGAATAAGGGTTCAAAGAAAATTCCTCCGTCACGCTGCTTACAAATTAAACATATTCTGTCCACCTCACGATTACACGCCAATACAACACCTTTTTTTCTTTAGAAAGCCTCGCTGATCGTCGTCATTCAGCTAACTTATCATTTCTATCTAATCTTCTTTCCTCTAAAATTGACAGTCCAGAATCACTATCCCGTGTCTCAGTTAATGTCCCCTCCCACCGTACACGATCATCTGTTCCATTTCATTTACCTTTCTCTTCCTCGAACTATTATCTCAACCCACCGATCATCCTGCTTATGCGCATTGCCAACACTGACCATTCATTCTCACTCTAAAGTTGAGCCTCGTTTCCATAAAGCAAACTATTTACTATTATACTATTATATTCACGTATTAAAGAATTCGTCCAAATAGAGTGCTTACCTTTGGATATATTTTTTGCTCTGCAATAGGTAGTTAATTAAGACTCAATATGAATTAAATTGTAGTTTAACTAGACAATCCTATCTTAATGAGGTGGCTAATGGTCTCCTATACCTTTAATCGACACAGTACATCCATTATATAAATTCTAAGTGTTAAGATCGCCTACTAATAATAATAATAGAAATTAGTATTTTAGTATATTTTGTAAGTTACATTAGTACATTATTAGCTCTACAAACGTTTTGTTTCCGTCTATTTAACACTGAGTGACTAGTATTATATATAATTGTATATAACTATTGCAATACATATACAAGGTGATTTTTTTATCATTGAACACTCATTATTTCAAAAAGTATTAATGTTTGAGAAAATATTTTTTTACATCGTTTCAAGTTGTTAAAAAACAATATTTTTATTAAAAAATTATATTTTTAAATATTTTTTATCCTTTTAATTTTTTAAGTTTTTTACTTTTTTGAATGACAACATGTAATTTTAATTTGATATTCAAAAACAGAATATTTTTCTGATTATTTCAATACATAAAAATTGAATTTAGGGCAAGTAGTTTATGAGTTATAAGTATTTAAAGTTTAGATGAGCGGAGTAGTGGACAAACATTTCGCGGGGTAACCCCGTACCACTCTACTCCGCTTATCTAAACTTTAAAATGTTCAATGATAAAAAAATCACCTTGTATATAAATGGTTCTTTCTTCCAAAAAAAAATTCAGACAGAAATCAACCATCATTATTCTTATAATATACTGTATCATGTTTTAAATCTGTAATCATTTTATCATTTAGGTTCATTACCACATTACAAATGGAACGTTTGATATTGGCTCAGCGATATTGTTGTATCCTCAAGCAACTGATTACCAATGGAGAGTAATTCAAAAGTACTACGCTGATGATAACCTTATCAGTACTATGATTATGGAATTTTCATTTTTCGGCTACAGAAGAAAAAACAAGTTTATTCTAAAACCATAATAATATGTTATTTACTCAATTACAATAGTAAATATAAACAGCTAGTCGTACTAAGGTGCATTCATTACTAATGAAAAAAAAAATAAAAAAATTTGGTAGTTAGTTAGTAAGTACCTCTCATTTTATATTTTGTAACTGGATAACATTCAAGAAATAATCAGAATATTAAAGACAAAATATGTTTATCTCCAAACATAAAATGTGTCAATAATAATTACTATCTATTGAACTCAAAATGTTATTAATTTTTGATTATAAAATATATTTGTTCTAACTATCATTGATTTACTTTAAACATGATTATTTAAAAATCGTGTTTATAAATTAAATTACTATTACCTACATATTTTTACAATTCTTGCATGATGATGCCAATTAATTTTTTTAGGTACTTAAGCAGCTCATTTATATGGTGTTTGAAATCATATTATAAATTAATAAAATTAACTTTTAAATTATATTTTGTTGGATTTATAACTAGGTAGCTGAATTACCCGACGTTGTCCGAAAAAAATTGTGATTGTTCAATTCCTTTTGGGTGTAACACGCTATGGAAGCGATGCTTTTTTAAGTGTAAATGATATCATACTTCAATTTTTAATGTACAGTGGATTCCGCCTAATATGGACACGTTGGCACCAAACTCATTTGCCCAGATTAAGTGGTTGGCCATATAAATCGAAATTCGTTAGTTATAGTAACCATCTATTACCCTGACGACCATCTTAACCAGTGCCCACATTAAGCGGAATCCACTGTATAGCCATCCAGACCGGCATTTTCCGTGAGATTCGCTTGTGATTATGCTAGCAGTATATTATCAGGTATGGAATCTACTTGCGGTAGATCGCGGATCCCATGTGGTTTGTATATATGTCGTATACTCGTATGTGTATAATTCAACACTAAAATATAAAAGTTATACCAAGTTTGTCGTTTGTATTTAATTCAAAATTTGGCTGATTAGTACAAAATCCTAACTTAACCGTACTAAAATCCGATAAATCAAAAAAAAAAACCAAACATTCGTAGGTGTAGACAAAGAAGAAAAATAAAAAAAGGAAAAAAAAACAATGCGAAAAATTGGTCCACCGAAACCGTAGTACGAACTTGCGACGGGAAACAGCTCTAAAAACCAACAGTTAAAAAATTTTAAACATTCCTGCCAAAGGTGCCGATATATAAGCCCAATCACTAGTTTTTATCACAAATCCTTATCAACAGCCGTTAACAATAATCATTATCCCTTACTTGAATACATCTACGTCGAAGTCGGATCGCCTACCTAGGTGGTTAACTTGAAAGTTAATCGATTTTGACTTGAGATGATTAACTTGCTACACACTCTTACATGGTTTCCGATTTTACCTTTTTTTACACATAGGTACAAAAAAGCACCAGACATACGCTGGGGAATCGTATCATTCAATTGCCGATTTTCGTAGGCCATGGGAGATTTCTAGACACTGAAATTCGACTTTTAAACATTCCTGGCTTCAAAGAGCCTTCAAAGAGCCTCCAAAGAGCCAGGCCTTATAACAAATTCTTATCGCCAAATCACCTTCATTGTAAGTGCGACTTTTATAATTCGACTGTGTTTCCAAAATTTGTATCCACTTTTAGCTAACACTGCCCGTCCGGGGGTCTCCCCTGGCTGGACCGGAATGCTAGTAAAAGTATAAATGATTAACTTGTCGACATTGTGACATTTGAAAACAGTATAAACATAACAACATTGAACAATCTATTTAAACAGGAAAGATCCATGTCATAAAATCTTACTAGACGGTGACATAGAAGTGATTTTGGAGGAGGAGACAGACTGAATATAATTATCTATTATGCCACCACGGAAGCTTGGGTTATCTACTGAGGTTTTAATAATATATTAAAAAACAGGTTAGTCAAACATTGAGTAAACTTATCGTTTATAGACAGTGTTACTAGAATAATAATATCGATAATAATTTACAATGTATTGAAAGTTGAAACTAATGGATACACATCAATAAACAATGAAGTATATTTAATTATAAGTATATACTATGTAGATTATACATAGTATACCTAGTGCTGTATAATAGTGTATACCAATACATACTAGGTATTACTGTATTTAAAAGTCGAGTAGCTAAAATCCGATGTGTTATAATAATCACGTTGATCGGCTATTCACACAAAATATGAGTGTTGTTCAAAAAATATTGTACTGATTTTTACAATACATTGTGAAAGGACATTGTTTTCCGAGACATAGTTATTAAAATTTTTATGAAGGTTAGATAGCTGCATAGATTTGTGTATTGTAAATTAGTATTAATTTGCAGTGTGAGCCATTAACATAATAGGTAGGTGTCACGATAACGATTCATACCACCATAATACAACTCGGGGAAAGCAGTTTAAAAAGAGTAATATTGTGTCAGTTAATACCTACCTTCTCTTTTATTCTTTTCGTAGAAGTATTTAAGCATTTCACTCGTAACTTCATTAATACACACAAATACTCACAATAACAAAATGGCAGTATTAAAATTAATTTTTATTTTCATTATTGGAGACTTTATCAGAAATGTGATGTTGGTAAGTATATACTCGTGTAATTATATATATTACGAAGTACTTTTATCAGGACGCCGTGCGCCGAATATAATTTTTTTAGTACAGGTAGTTATATATTTTATTCGGATAATAATATCTCCTACATAAATAAGGTTTCGGAGGACTATGACTATAATTATACTTTCATGGGAATATAAATTACATACACAGATTTTTTAAAATCATAATTCGATGTCTGGTATTATATCAGGTAGTTTCTTGAATGATCTATTGATGTTACTTTGAGCTAATGTTTTTAAATATCACTGATGGTTAAGTGAATTCTTATGAGAGGGTCCAAGTGGGGTTAGACTCTACTATACTAAGGTAAGGATTTTCTGCAGTTATCAAGCAAAATTTGGAGGATACAATCATTGACTAGTTTTTGAGCTTGATTTATAATTAGAAATATTCTGTTGTCGTTTATTGAAAATGGTAATACCTTATTGTGGCATTGAATATTGGAAGATTTTGGAGCAATTTTCAAAAGATACTTGAATTAGTCAAAATAAAGGTCTAAAATAGTTTAATGTTTTACGATTGACAAATAGTGCAGAGGAAAATAAATATGAATATGGGTATTCATTTTACATGTGTTAAATGTTTGATGCACAATTTGTTTTTTTAAATTAAAATAAATTATCAATTGTACCAATTTTTGTGGATGTTTTGAACAACGGTTTAAAACTTTAAAAGTTTGTAGATTTGAATTGGATTGCAAAAAATATCTTCCTATGACTTTTTCAGTACGATCCAATGTTTACGTATACTGTAAGGTTTAAAAAAGTTTCTGTACATCCGAACGAACTTGCAAATTTCACGATCAACCAATACAGAGGAACACAATTATTTATAAATGGTAATCTTACATTACCTCCGAATATTGTCACTGATAAAGTAAGTATAACAGTTATAAATTAAGCAACCATAGTACTAACCTATCAGTGTATTATAAAATAAATTGTATTATAACATAAATTGAATATCTTATACCCTTATCGTATTATTATAGATTTAGTTTAATTTTTTATATTCACGCTGTTAGGTACGAATTAACTGTTGAAACATCAATATACTTCTGTTTGTTTAGCTTTCCATACTACTAATATATTTTTATCACTTGTGTATAATGTATTTTTGAAGGTTATTATATTTTTCCATCGTTGTGAATCTGACGGCATTAATTGTAAATACTTTCAAACATGGATATTTACAGATATCTGCTCTAAATTAAAAGAAAAGAACCAAGTATGGTCCCGTTGGTACAGTTCGTTTGACCCACCAATGGTCTGTCCATTAGATAAGGTAAGGAATAATGAAGTTCTATAATTCTTTTTAACTTTGCTTTGCTTGAAAGTTCAATGTTATTATTGTGTTTTAATTGTATTTTTAATTATTCTTTATTTTTTAACTAGTTCACAGAAAGTCAGTTAGTTATGTGGCCCATGTACATAATATAAACGTTATTGTAAATTTAATACTTATATACAAATGTTGAAATGTGTGATAAAACACTCAATTTTATCTTTGGGAGGTGGGTGTTTGTTTTCGAAATTATTAAACAGTATTTAAAAAAAGCACAATTTATTGTAAAACCAATACATACGTACTTTTCTTTGCTTAAAATCTAAAAATGTATGAGGACTTATCTCCAATATACATATAATTCTTTGTGAGTAGGCCCCCGTAAAAGGTGCTAAATTTATTTTACACTGGGGGGGGGGGTGTCTAAATGCGGCATTGGTTGTGACCCTGGTGGCAAGTGTTCTAATTAATTGTTTATTTTTCAATCATAATTCATGCATAACTATAAACAAACAGTCGGACATTGAATGTTCGTGTTATGTATAGACATGAAATAAATCTATTAAATTATAAATCATAGTGTATAATTATTACATCAAATAATAAATTGTTCCTACTTCCCAAACAATCAACCGAACTCAATCATCATCATGGTTACAACTGTATCATGTTGTCAATCTGTAATATGGGTTTTTACATTTAGGTCCATTACCAAGTTACAAATGGAACTATTGATGCTGGCGCAGCAATACTGTTGTATCCTCAAGTAACTGATTACCAATGGAGAGTAATTCAAAAGTTCTACGCTAAAGATAGATATATCAGCAGTATGATCATGGAATTTTCATTCATCGGCCACAGAAAAAAAAAAAATTCTATTCCATAACCATAACATGTTATTTACTCAATTAAACTTAAATTTTACATAAACAAAGTTGTACTATTCATTGTTAATTGCTATTAAAAAAAAAAAAATTACATAATTTTAACTTATACAGTTGGGTAGTTAGTTTAAGTATACCTTCTTCTTTTATATTTTTTATATGGAACGTTCAATAAATATGCAGAATATACAAAATATATTTTATTTTCAAGCATTTAATGTGTCAATAATTATTAGGTAATCTTTCGTTTATTTACCAAAAATGACCTATTAATATTTTATATTTTCTAAAATTCTGCATTTAAACTTTGTCTTATTATATACATAGGTAGATACCTACCTAAGCACCATACGTACCTACGTGTGGCAATAATATTGTAATGTTGAGAATACTTCAAACACAATTATTATTATTGTAACATCATGTTTATAAATAACATTTTTATCACATATTTTTAAAATATTCGTGAACACTGATAACAATTAATATTATTAGGTAGATACTTATGTAGTTTATTTATAAGGTGTTTAGAAACATATTATATTATATTAATAAAATTAACTTTTAAATTGCATTTTGTTATATTTACAATTTACCTACCTATAATATATATTATATACCTATATATTACTCACAAAATTTACATTATAGGTTTCACAAAACTAAAATCTTTCTTCTTCATTTAAATATCTAATTTTGTCTAAATTTGAACATAATAAATATAAAAAAAACTATGATTTTATATTCTGGGGTTACAGAATATCCTTCTTACGCCCTACTTTCAAGTTTCAACCCTTAGCTATAAAATTTCAACATTTTATAAATTTGTGTATGTATTTTTAATATTTTCTAACAACAATTGTAATAATCTATCAGGAGCCTTGTATATAATTTTCAAGCTTTATCACTAAACGAATAACATTTTATCAAAATGTATAGAAAAAAAAACTAAAAAAATTGAAAATTGAAAATGTCCATAAACAGCTCTACTACTATAGACCGTGTTACTTGGATAACAATAGGTATACAATGCATTTAAACTATTGAATATACCTCAATATACTGCAGTAAGTTAAACTTACTATTCCTATATTATATTATACGAGTATAGATTATATTATAGTACATTAGTACCGTATAATACACCAATACACCCTATTATAGGTACTATATTTAATGTCGAAACGTTAAAATAATTTCATCGAGGCAATTTATCGCGTTGATCGGCTATTCACGCAAAATATTAGTAGTTGATCAAAAACATTTTTACTGATTTACATATAATACATTATTAAACAACAGTGTTTTCCCGTGACAACTTCCGATATTAGGTTATTATAATTTGTATGAAGGTTAGATAAGCTGAATAGTTCTTATTGTGTTGTAAACTATTATTAATTTGCATTGTGAGCCAATAACATAATTATCACGATAACGATTCATTCGACTATTCGTTACATATATTAGTTTATATTTGGTAAATTGAACTTTGGACAAGTAGTTCAATAAGAGTAATATTGGGGCAGCTAATATAACTTCAATGTTTTATGCTTTTCGCATAAGTATTTTACACGGAACTTCATTTGTATATTCACAAATACTCACGAGAAAAAAATGGCAGTGTTAAAATTTATTATTATTTTGATCATTGGTGATTTTATCAAACATGTGATGCTGGTTAGTATACTAGTGCAATAATTTATGAAATAGGTACTTTTAGAAGGATACCATGTCCATATATTTTAGTGTACTTATATTAGGGGCGTAATAAAGGGGGATTAGGAGGATGAATCCTCCAGATCCTTAATATAATATATATAAAACACTCACCACTGTATTGAAAATGTAGTATTTTGTGTGTAAGAAAATGTATATCCCCCCCCTCTCCACAGGAAAAACTCCTAATTACGCCACTAACTTATACATTTTACTCAGATATTTGAGTTATTTTGAATAAGTATTTGAATTACTCAGAGGGTGTATAATCAGTTAAGATTGATAAAAAAATAAAAAAATAAATATTCATTTTTTAAATTATAGAAAGATTCAGTTGTGAGAAAACTTTCCTAAAAACTATAGTTAATATACCTAATTTATCACAATTTATATATAAAAAGTTTAATTAAAATTCCAAGTATCTATAAATAAGATCCTAAAGATTTTGAAAATTCTATGTCTAGAAAATATTCTAAAAATATTCTCGTAACTATACAGTTATATTTATTCATTTAAAGAATTATTACAAAAAATAAAATAGATTCTAAAAAATGATACGTAAAACATTAACTGTAACTGTTTACTGTAATTTTTTTTTTTTTTTTTAATCCCTCGAACGGAAAATGTGAACTTTTAGTAGTTAAACATTTTAAATGTTGAATTATAATAATGGTAAAATTGATGATTTAATATATTTATTTATATAGATTTAAACTACCTAATTTCAAAAAATATTTTAATATGGTTTTCAGTACAATCCAATGTTAACGTATACGATACGCTTTAAAAAAATTTTTTTACAACCGAGCATCTATGAAAATTTAACCATGACGTAGAACATGGCCAATAGCTTAATTAAAATATCTTATCGTTCTCTTTTTTGGTTTTATACTCATTTTCAAATGCATCACAACTTCCAACCGGAGAACCAAATGGGGGGGGAGCTTACCTCCAGATATAGTTTTTGCTCTGCCATACTTCATTAAAATTCAATATAATTTGTTATTTAACTAGAGAATCTGATCTTAACTAGGTGGTTTACTGTTGCTTTTTTCTAGCTTTCCTCATCACAGTACAGTACAGCTATGGGTATCCATTATCTAAATATTCTAAGTAGATATTAAGATATCCTACTATTGTCTGATTTGTAGTTGTACCTGTTATTTGTATTATCCACCAATAATATTTATCATTCATTCAATTTGTACACGTTTATTACCGTGACTTACTAAATTACTAAGTACACTTGAATGTTAAAACTTGTAAGTACAGCATATCAAGGTTATGACCATGGTGTACTAATATAAATGTTTATTTTTCAACCATAATGTTTAAAGGACTCTGAAAAAACAGTTGGATGTTAAATATTCATGTATAAAACACGCATATTTAAATGGAATAAAAATGTACCAATCTAGGTATATTATTATTATATATAATAGTACATAATTATTGCAGTACCTACATATAAATTGTTCTTTCTTCTAAAAAATTTACAGAAATCATGATTTATGTTAAAAACTGCACCTTATTGTACGTTTGAAACTTTTTACATTTAGGTTCGTTACCAAATAAGAAATGGAACTTTTGATATTGGCTTAGTAATTGCATCGTATCCTCAAGTAACTTATTACCAATGGAGAGTTATTCAAAAGTTCTACGATAATGATACATATCTCAGTAGTATGATCCTGGATGCATTATATTTCGGCTACAGAAAAAAAATCAAGAATATTCCAAAACCATAACGTGTTATTTACTCGATTACACTTTATTTTATTACAAGCAAATTTGCACTATTCATTCACTATCCACTTTTTAAAAATTGCGTGATGCCAGTACGCGCGGGTGAAATGAATCTTCTTTATACAGGGTACGAAAAAAAAATCGTCACGACACACAGTTTTTTGTGGTTTGTTTTGTATAAAAAATAAAATATATCAGAAAGAATGCAAAAATGATGGTTTCCCCGACCGAAATCGAACTTGCAAACTGTCATCGGTTTCGCCTTAGCTTAACGGTCGTGACCTTTTTTATGTACCCTCCGTAAAGAAGTTTCACTTCAAAAAACTATATTATTCAAATGTAAAATTTTGTAGTTGTATAATACAATTGCAATAGTTATTAAAAATGTATGAATAAATATTGGTATGATTTAATTTATATATTTTATACAAATTTTTACACAGACTAATCCAAACTTATCTTTTCATTACATATTGGCTGAACTACCTGGCGTTGCATGAAAAAAAATTCTGATTGTTAAACTCTTTTTGTGGTGTAATACGTTATGATTATTATTTAACGCGTATCGCTTTAATAATAATTATTATTATTAAAACCAATTACAACCATTTACAAACAAAAATGTCCATACTAAATTTCAAAATTTCAAAGTCTATATTCTTCCCAGACGTCTAATCTATATCTGTACCAAATTGCATCGCAATCGGATGAACGGTTTAGGAATGCATATAGAACAAACAAACACAAACATTAATTTTAGATTCAAAAGCACCGGAAAAAACAACATAAAAATTAAGGGAAAACATTAATTTTTAATCAAATCGGTTTTTGCAAAATCGATTTTGGTGTAATTTAAAAAGGAATGAAAGTATATACATGAAATGTTTACCTATTATAGGTACTGTATTTAAAAGTCATGTAGCTAAAATCCGAAGTGTTAAAATAATTGCATGGAGGCAATTTATCACGTTGATCGGCTATTTACACAAAATATGAGTGTTGTTTAAAAAAAAATGTACAGATTATTTATACAATACATTGTTGAATAACATTGATTTTCCGAGATAACTTCCGACATTTAGTTATTATAATTTTTTTAAAGGTTAGATTACTGTAAAGTTGTTTGTGTTGTAAATTATTATTAATTTGCATTGTTAGCCAGTAACATAATATCACGATAACGATTCATATCATTGAGTACATTATATTGTACAATTGAGTAAACATTGAGTAAACTATAGAGTATATACGGTGTTACTTGTATACAATATACAATGTGTTTAAACTAATGACTATACCATCAATATACAGTGAGGTATACTAGGTATATGAGTATACGACTATTATATTATATTGGTGCTGTGTAATATTACCTAAGATCATATACTATGGATGGAGCCACAGCGTATTAAATCAATACGAAAAAACGTTGTCGATATTGGCGACGAGTCGCCGAATGAGGTGGTCGATATGCGCATGCGCAACGCGACTTTTCGCATATTTATCCACAGATACCTACAATATACCTAACCTATGGATAATAATTATTCGAGGAGTTGCATTGCGCTTGCGCACATCGATAATCTAATTCGGTGACTCGTCGCTAAATCGGCAACAAAATCATACGCTGTAGCTACATCCATAGTATAATAATATCATGATCTAAGAATATTACATACCAATACATACTACTACTGTGTTTTTTTAAAATCGAGTAACTAAAATTCAATATACCTATTACAATAATTATGTCAATAGTCAATTTATCACGTTGATCTGCAATTCACACAAAACATTAGTGTTGTTCAAAAACATTTTTACTGATTTATACAATACATTGTTGTCCCGTGACAACTTCCGATATTAAATTATTATAATTTTTATGAAGGTTAGATAAGCTGCAAAGTTATTTGTGTTGTAAATTATTATTAATTTGGATTGTGAGCTAGTATCATAAGCGATAACGATTCATTCTACTATTTACATAGGAGTTTATATTTTACAAATCGAACTCTGGATAATCAATTCAATAAAAGTAATATTGTGTCAACTAATATAACTTCTATGTTTTATGCTTTTTGTGCAAGTATTTTACACGTAACTTCATTTGTATATTCACAAATACTCACGAGAAAAAAATGGCATTATTAAAATTTATTTTTATTTTGATCATTGGAGATTTTATCAAAAATGTGATGCTGGTTAGTATACTATTGTGTAATAATTTATGAAGTAGGTACTTTTAACCTTTACAATGATATATTTTAATGTACTTATATCGGGAGCGTAATTAAGGGGGTATTAGGGAGATAGATCTCCCCAGAGCCTTAATATTATATACAAAACACCCACCACTGTATTGAAAATTTAGTATTTTGTGTTTAATAAAATGTATATTCTCCCCTCCAAGGGAAAAATTATTAATTACAATACTGACTTATATATGTTACTCATATTTTTGAGTTATTTTGAATAAGTTTTTGAATTAGTCAAAGGGAGTATAAACATTTACGGTTGAAAAAATAGAAATTGTAAAGAGAAAAATAAATACTAATTTTTTAAATTATAGAAAGATCCCGTTGTGGGAAAAGTTTTCTTAAAACTACTATCACCATTTATATATAAAAAATAAAACAAAAAATTGCACGTGTCTATAAATAATCCAAAAGATTTTGACTACACTATGCCTATGCCTTTTTTTTTATCCCTAGAATAAATACGAATTTTTAGTAGGTAGTTATTTAAAGTTTTTAATAATAATAAAATGTATGATTTAATATATTTATTTATATAGATTTAAATTACCTAATTCCAAAAATTATTTTAATATGATTTTCAGTTCAATCCAATGTTAACGTATACGATTCGTTATAAAAAAGCTTCTGTACAACCGAGCAGCTTTGGGAATTTGACTATCGACCAATACAGAGGAACTCAATTACTTAATGGAAATTTTACATTTCCTACGACGTCGATCAACAAAGTCAGTAAAACAATATTATAAATTAAACAACCATATAGGACTCACCTATATTAACTATTATAGGTATATCATAAAATAACGCCGAAGAAGTTGAATATTTTATACTCTTATAATATCATGTTACAGAATTGTATTTTATGTACGATAATACTACTAAGTCAATTCCGTAAAATTGAATTTGGATATTGATACATTAATATACTTTTATGTGTTTAGGTTTACATATTTTTAATTGTTTATAATCTATTTTTAAAGATTGTCGCCATTTTCTATCGTTGTGATCCCGATGGCATTAACTGTGAATACTTTCAAACGTGGAAAATTACAGACCTCTGCTCTAAAATTAAACAAGAGAACCAAGTATGGACCCGTTGGTACGGTTCGTTTCATCCACCATTAGTTTGTCCGTTTGATAAAGTAAGAATAATGAAGTTATAATTTATATAGTTATTTTTAACTTTGCGTTACTTGACAATTAGATGGTAATATTGTGTTTAATTTGTGCTGTTTGTAAGTTATTCTTTATTTTCTAATAAGTTAGTGATTTTACTTTATAAATTAAACTGTTGTTTAACTAGAGAATCTGATCTTAACAAGGTGGTTTACTGTTTCTTTTCTCTTGCTTACCTACCTCATCACAGCGTATAGTATAGCTAGCCACTATCTAAATATTCTAAGTAGGTATTAAGATCGCCTACTATTTTCTGATTTGTAATTGTATACCTGATTTTTGTTACACCCACCAATAATATTTCTCTTAAATTTATTTACCTTTCATTAAATTCAAATTTAACAAGTATACAAAACTAAGTATACACTTGAAAGTTTAAACACACCATACAGCATATTATCATGACCATGGTGTACTAATATAAAATATGTTTCATTTTCCAACCATAATGTATAAATAACTCTGACCAAAGAGTTGGACGTTAAATGTTCGTGTATTGAACACGCATATTTACATGGAATAAAGATGTATATCTATATTATTATTGTTCACATAAATCATTCTTTGTTCTAAAAAATGTACAGAAATCATCATTAATGTTATATATATTGTGCCTTATTGTACTTTTATAACTTTTTACATTTAGATTCATTACCGAATGATAAATGGAACTTATGATATTGGCTTAGTATTTGCTTTGTATCCTCTAGTAACTGATTACCAATGGCGAATTATTCAAAAGTTCTACGTTGATGATGATACATACATCAGTAGTGTCATCCTGGAATTGATATATTTTGGCTACAGAAAAAAAATCAAGTTTATTCCAAAACTATAACATAATATATTTACTCAAATACACTTCAATTCAATATAAACAAAGTTGTATAATTTATTCATTACCCACTTAAAAAAAAAAAGTCCGTGTTGAGAGTATACGCGCTTGTGAAATTAAACTTCTTTAGAGAGGGTACGAAAAAACAAACGTTTCTATGGTTTGTTTTTAATAAAAAAATGAAAAATCATATCAGAAAAAAATGCAAAAAGCTGGTTTTCACTTTTGGAATCGAACCCGTAACTGTTGTCGGAGCGTTTCACACAAGTGTCTAACGATCGTGCCCTTTTTTTATACCCTCCGTAAACAATATTCACTTCAAAAAATTATAGTTCCTATTCAACTTTAAAAAATTATGTAGTTATATAATGCAATAAACATAAGAAATTATGAAATGGATGTTTAATTTATACATTTTTATACGAATTTTTACACAGACTGACGTTTAAAATTAATTATAAACGTAATAATCGCAATAACTATTATTTAGACCAAGGTGGTCAAAATGGTCTAAGGTCAACCTTTTGTAATCGGCTGGTCAATTTACACATTTATTATATAAGCACACTAAAAGAAAAAACAATTTTTTTTTTCATATTTTATTTTATAACAAACGTATATTACATTACCTACACACAAGTTATCCCAATACAGATCAACAGATCAGTATTAATTCATAGTTGCGATGATTAGGTTACTTAAATATAATATTTAGAATTTGGAAGTATTAATG